GAACTGATAAAAGATTGAAGTATGTCTGCAGCCAAAAGTGAAAATAAATTCATGTGTAGATACTTGAATGAAACTGCAAAACACCAAAGACATAAAGATCTGAAAGCAACCAAAGGTAGAGGACAGGAAGCTATTTCGGTAACCGAGTGAAGAGAGGATGTATCTGAGGTCAGGGGATGGGCCCACAAGGCGTGTCAGAACAGAAACAGCATGTGAATGGCAAGGCTTAGGAAGAAGAGGTTTAAGATGCTGAGCATCGTAGTCTTCTGAGACTGGGTGATTTATAAAGAACAGAAATGTATTTCTTACAGTGTTGGAGGATGGAAAGTCCAAGATCGAGGCATCCATCCGCATTTGGTAAGGGTTCTCTTGGTGCATTCTCATGCTGAGGGGCGAAGGGCAAGAGAGAGCAAACCTCCTCCTGCAAGTCCTTTTCGTAGTGGCATTGATCCCTTCATGAGGGCCAAGCCTAAACACCTCCTGAAAGGCCCCACTTCCCAATACTGTTAACGTTGAGAATTAAGTTTCCAACACATGAATTTGGGGGGACACGTTTAGCCACAGCACTGAGGCTTCTAGTTTGGTTATGTAGGCAGATGACACCTCCTTCAAGATTAGAAGCATTAAGATGAAAAGACTAGAGATTGTGTCAAGGGCTTGAGGAGTAGATGAGAGAAAAATAACATTGTTTATGTATTTTGTTTTTTTTTTTTTAGACAGAGTCTCGCTCTGTCACCTGTGGCATCAGCCTAGCTCACAGCAACCTCAAAGTTCTGGGCTCAAGCAATTCTCCTGCCTCAGCTTCCCGAGTAGCTGGGACTACAGGCATAGGCCACCACACTCAGCTAATTTTTCTGTTTTTAGTAGAGATGGGGTCTCGCTCTTGCTCTTGCTCAGGCTGATCTCGAACTCCTGACCTCAAGTGATCCTCCCACTTCAGTCTCCCAGAGTGCTAGGATTACAGGGGTGAGCCACTTCACCTGGCCCATTGTTTGTTTTATTGAGTTTGAAGTAACTGAAACATCTATATATATAGTTGTCTGCAGGTAATTAGAAATACCAATTCAGAGTCTAGAAAGGCTGAACATTAGAATTTGTGGGTTATTTTTGTAAGTGATTATTGAAATCATGAGATTGCCAAGGAATAGAATGCAAAATGAGTAGAGATGGTGGCATGTTTTGGAACTTGGGAGAATGAGCCTCTTGAAGAAATAGAGAATGAGCAATGAGAATGTTTGGGACCAGGTGGGAACTGAGAATTTAGTGAGATTTGATTATTTGAAGATCATAGAAAGAAGATGGGACACATTTAGTTCTCCCAGCAGTGAGTTGTGACAAAGCATGAAATGCCAGCCAGGGAAGATCATTAGAGACTCGGTGCTCAGGATTTTTATTTAGGGCTGATAATATTGGCACCATCCATGTAAGGTTTCCCTTTTTTTTTTTTTTTTTTTTTTTTGTTTCTGTTGTCAGGTAATACTTCTTTGCCAAGGCTTTAGTGAGTGTTAGAAGTGCTACCCAGGCTTTTGTGGTCTAAGAAATGAATGGATTGAACTTGAGTCCATTATCTGAAGTGAGGTA